AAGCGCCCAGGCTCTCCGCCCCCCTAGCGATGGCCCCTGACCCTCAGAGCCCCCCCCACTCACTGCAGGGCCCTGACCCTCAGAGCCCCCCACACTCACTGCAGGGCCCTGACCCTCAGAGCCCCCCCACACTCACTGCAGGGCCCTGACCCTCAGAGCCCCCCACACTCACTGCAGGGGCTTCTCCCCGGTGTGGATGCGCCTGTGGATGACGAGGTTGCTGCTGGTGCGGAAAGAGCGGGCACAGAACTCGCAGATGTAGTCCCGGGTGTCTGCATACACGGGGAGCACTCCACATCGGTTCTCAGGGTGCCGCCCCTCCTGGCCCCGCCTGCCCCCCTACGGGAGCACGCCAATTCTGGGCGTGTAGCCTGGACGAGCTGTTGTGCAGACTGCGGAGCGGGTCACGACCACGAGATACACACAGGGCATGCGACAACAGCTGACAGGCTCCATGACTGTCTGCTCACCCTGCCCTGCGGGCGCCCTGCCTGCACCTGGGTCCCTGAGCTGGGCCTTAGCAGAGATAGGAGTGAGAGCCGAGTCCTCCCCAAAGTCACTCCCTGGCGTCCGGGATCATCTCCTCACTTGGGCGACCACCCACCCCGTCCCTGCCCCCTCCTGTGTGTGGCCCTGGCTCTGCACCTCTGGCAGCTGGGGCCCCTGCGTCCCCGGCCTCGGGCCTGCAGCAGAGCGGGGTCCTTGCTGCCCAGGTGCCCTCAGATGTCTGTCCCTCCCGGTTCTGGAAACTCAACATGCCCTCGGACGCCCTGCACCTCCTCCCTGGGTCATACGGCTCTGGTTCCAGGCCCTGCACTCCCATCGGCTGTGCCCACTTTCACCCAACACCCCGCCCATCCTGGCTGCTCATCTCGCCCCACTCCACGGCCACGTTTCCAGGTTGGGCCCAAGTGCTGCGCCACCTCAGAAGTCAGAAACCACCATTCGAGCCTTGCAGTCCCAGCCAGGGCCACTTATCTTGTCCTGCAGTGACAGTCCTGTGACCAGGTCACCAGTCCATTGGCCCAGGCAGCCCACTGCCTCCCCACTGGCCCCCTCCCCCTTCAGCTCCATTTGCACAGCACTTTACAACGGCACGGTCTCGCCACACTCTCTCCCCACCTTGGGCACACACACGCGTGCCCAGCACAGGGTGTCTCAAACTGCCTCCAAGGCTGGCACTCAGACCGTGGTGAGCCGCGTGGAGCCAGCGCCCTTACACGCCGGACCATGGCGCCGGCCGTCCACAGCTGTTCATGCAGCCTTTGTTCACGCTGCCAGGCTGCCGGCCCCTCCCCTCAGCTGTACCTGCTCAAAGCCCAGCTCTGGGTAAATGCCCCTTGGCCTGCCAGGACTGCGTGTGGCCTGGCGGGGGGCGTAGCCAGGCCTGGTTTCTCCTTCCACCCACAGTCCCAGTCCAGCACTGCAGTTCCCGTTGGTCCCCTCTCCCCCTCTAGATTCCAGAGGACGTGTCACGTGGCCTCTCCACCAGCCTCCCAGCCTCGAGTATGCCACCCACTCTGCACTGTCATTTCTAAGTCACCAACAAGAGAATACCCACATCGGCCACCAAACCCACTAACCCACGTGCACTGGCACCCACCCCCATGACACTCGCTGCCTCCCACTGGCCCAGGACCACTCCTGCTCTCCCAAGTCCCCACCTGTCCCCAGCATCAGTGTCCTTTCTCCTCTGTGGGCTTGTCATCATCTCTGTGCCCCACGCCCCAGCCTTCCAGCTAAGACCCCAGTTGTCTGCCTGTCTTCACAGCAAAACTCCAAAGTACTGTCCACTCTGCCTGGCACCTAGTCCGTCCTGGCTCAGCTGCCCATTAGCACCACCTTGTCACCTGGGCAAGAACGATTCCACACCGTCACAGAGTGGTCCACAGCACCACCGATCACCTCTCCCTGCCCTGGGACACTTCCTGCATTTGGTCCTCAAAGGCCTCCTTGACCATCCCCACGGGCCCAACCTGCCCCAGTGGCGGCTGTGCAGGGCTCAGATCTCCTTTCCACCTGGCTTCCTGCAGAGACCGTGCAGCCGCGGCTCCCCGCCCTGTCCCATGCTCGGACATACCCGCTGTGCTCTGCCGGCATCTCCCTGGAACCCCAGACAGGTGGGGTGTCTAACTGGCATGTCGGGTCTCCCTCTCTGCCTCTGCCCCGTCCCCAGTCACATCACCCTGCTGAGCTGCTCAGGTCACCCACCGCCTGCCCCCCCCCACCCCCCACAGAAGCCCTCTGCCTCCACCACGACCACATCAGCCTCCCTCGCCCTCGACGGCTACGCAAGCCCAGGCTATGTTGTTACTCTTGTAGGTGCTGCAGGTAGGCCCCACGCTGGCCTGCATGCCCCCTCCCACACAGCAGCCGGGGAGCTGATCAGCTCGTCCTCCACCCACCAAGACCTGCCCTGGAGCCATCTTGCTGCAAGTGGGGGCCGAGCCCTTGCAGCTGTCCTGGAAGCCCTGCCACCTAGGGTACCGCTCACTACTCTCCCTGCTCCTGGGACGTGCCACACAGATGCCACCCTGGATCTTCCCACAGCATGGCCTGTGGGCCTGGGTACAGGCTTCCTTTCCCCCCTGCACTTGGGTCAAGGCGAGCTCCTTCCACAACAGCAACTGCTCCTCACACTCTGCCAACCCGGCTTTCGCAGCTCGCCATGGCCCCGCGTCACTATCAGGGATGTCCAACAAGGGCGAGGGCTGCCTGCTTTGTCCCCTGCTGACCCACACGTGAGCGGGCGGGTGCTCCGCCCAGGACCAGGGATGGCGCCGAGGGGCACTGCTCGTCACTCACCACTGTGCAGCTTCACGTGCTCCTTCAGGTGCTTCTTGAAGTTGAAGGACTTCCCGCAGGCAGGCTCTGGGCAGGAGAAGGACTTCTGGTGGATGTGCTGGTACTTCCTGTGGTGCTGGGGAGGAAGTGGTGGTGGGGGGAGACACCACGGAGAGCTGCCTTCCCAGGGAGATGCCTGGGCTGGGCGGCAGGCAGGCTCCTCGCCCTCCCGGCCCCCGGCTCTGCTCGTCCCCCACGGCCACCCAGGTCATTCGGCCAGGTCGTCTGCACGGGAGGCTGAGCCTGCGGCACCCTGGCCCTACACTCTGCACCTCGTCTGCGCTCCCTGCCGGGCCCTCTCTCTGCACAGCCGCGGTACTCCCTGCATGCGGTGCACTCGGGGACACTCCTGGTTTGCCCGGGCCTGGGCTGGCTACCGGGGCAGGGAGGTGGTGCGAGCAAGCATGATCAGACCTGTCAGCATCAGTGCTGACATGTGACAGCATGCTCAGACTATCTGCTTTCTATGAGCAGCTCACCACGAATCTGCTGTGGGGACACAGAGAAGCACGCACACATACACGCACACACGTGCACACGCACACAGAGGCTCTCCACGTCAACCAGTGAAAAGAGTCTCCCCCACCCCAACACCCCTACATGGAATACATCCCATACGATCCACCCAATCGCACACCCTGGCTGGCCATGCGGTGCTGTCCCCTTCTTGGTAACACCAAGCTTCTCCGCATAAACCTCTGGGGCACGTCCGTCTGTCCCTCACGGGGTCTGGTGGCTGATTAGCCCACTGAGCGCCCTGCTCAGACTGCAGCTTCACTGTCACCTGTGCCACTCCCCACCCCATGATTCCTGGCATCTGTCAGCAGCATTCTGAGCAGGCTCGCCCACCCATGCCTTGCCCCATAGCCTGGGGTCTCCCCTGTCAGACTTCTGCATCTCCTGGGCAGTCCTGATCCTCTGCCCACTGAGACGGCACAATTGGGCAGCCTGAGCTGGACACTGGAGCCAGGCCACTGGGCTCAGAGCCTGGCCCGCCAGACACTAGCTGAGGGGCCTTGGACCATAGTGCCCTAGAGACGACTTCCTGTGTACCTCGGTTTCCTCATCTGCAAAGCAGGATAATGTCAGCACTACCCACGGGGCACTGGGAGGGACAAAGGGCCCAAGCCTTTCTGCATGTCGAGCATCTAGAGCCGTAGTCCGCAGCCCACAAGAACCCGGTGACCGCAGAGAAGTCATGACACAGCCGTGGACGCAGCCCTGTGCACCGAGGCTGGCCTCTGCCCCAGCTACCCCTTGTCCGGTTTAAACTCGGTTCTCAGAAAGCTCTGTGTGCCCCTCCCTCCTCTCCCTGGCTCCTGTTCCTCAGCTTCTCCTTCGATCCCCTCCCTGCCCCCGAGCACACAGGCCCAGCTGCGCCCTCACATTCAGATACTGCCGATTGGAGAAGATCCTCCCGCAGCCGGGGAAGTCGCACGGCATCAGCTCCTTCTTGGCAGCTTTCCTGGGGAGGAGAGTGGGAAGAGCAGGATTCCTGCCTGCTCCTCGCTGTCCTGAGCCCCGTCCCCCGAGGCCTACCTAATTCTCTTGGGCCCGATCTGCGCAGTGTCCTCATCCCAGGCCAGAGTCGGGGCGGGCTTGGCCTGGCTTCCAAAGCTACGGGCAGCAAAGAGGGAGCAGAGGACCTTGAGCAAGGGCCACATCCCAGGTGGCCCCTGTCCTCTCAGCCTCAGGTTACCTGGCTGAGTGCTCGGGCTGCTGGGCCACCTGGGAGGGCCGGCTGAGCTCCGGCTGTGCCCAGACTTCCGCAGGCAATGGGGTTCCGGAACCCGGCGAGGGTGCTGAGGACGGCCCGGGGGTCGGAGAGGAGACAGCTGCAGGCACAGGGGGTGTCAGCCCCTCCTTCGGGGTGTGGGTCCCAGGGGCATCTGGCTCACTACTGAAAGAAACAAAGGGGAGGGTGTGAGCACCAGGTGCCACCCACCCACCTCGGGGTTCCTCACACCAGCCCTCTTCCCTCTTCCCGCCCCTTCAGTTCACAGCCTCCAGCCCGTTCTGCCTCCCTGAAGAACCCCTCGATGTCCACCAGCCCTCCCCGCCCACAGGTGGGAAGCCCCAGGCCACTGCCCCGCTGCCCTGCCGCCCGGCCCGCACCGCCCGGCCCACTTGCTCGTCTGGGGAGGAGCTGTAGGCCCACGGGCTGGCCTCGCTCAGTGCCTCCTCTTCGCCCTCGTCCTCCACATCCTCGCCCTCGCCTTCTCCTGGGAGCTGGGGGGTCTCCGGCAGGGACCTTCAAGGCAGGCAAGCCTGAGGTCCTGTCCACCATGCCCACTGCAGGGCCGGCCCACCCACCCGCTGCCCTCCTCACCTGGGCAACCTGGACTTGACGGTCCTCTCATCACGGTCAGACCCCGAACCTGTGCACAGGGAAGAGCTCTGTGCTGGACGGCGAGGGCAGGGCGTGCTGAGGGCACAGGGGAGGGTGCCCATGGGGATGGGGCAGCGTTCCGCTTGGGAAAAGACGCTTTCATGTGACTTTTATAGAAAAATACTCGAGTAACAGGATGGTGGCCAGTGTGGCGGTGCGGCAATAGGCCCTCTGCATCAGGCTGGGGCCAGGTCAGCCGAGCTGGGCAGGCCGGCACAGAGTGTCCACCCACGCCCGCTCACGGGGGCTGGGTGGAGGGTTGCCACAGGGAGACTGGAAAACACCCCTGCCCCATTAAGGGGGAAGCACATGAGAAGCTCCCATCCGGGTTGTCAGCAGGACGTCCAGCTCCACCCAGTGCAGCCTGCCTCTGCACACCTCCTGGAGATGGCTCCCGCAGCACGGACAGACGGACTTTCCTCCCGGTCTGCCTCCACCACACACCCCACGAATGCACACCACACACCCTGGATGGCGCTTTGCTCTCTATACCTCACCATGCGTTTGCAGCCATGTCTCCACTGAGAGGGCCCTTTCCAGAGACCCCAGGATGCCCGTCCCCCTCCATCCACTCTCCCCCAGCCTACCTGCAGGCTGCTGCCCACTCTTGGCCTCTGGGCACCAGCTTCTCCGGGCAGTGAGCGGAAGGTGAGCAGGTTTGGGCTCCTCTGGAGAGGTAGGGCCCAAAGAGGGTCCCCAGGAGAAGGTGTGGCCCGCGGGGCACTCCCACACGAGCCCCCCGTCTCGGCCCCCAGGCCCGCGGAGGCCGGGCACCAGGCTGCACTCCCGGCTGTGGGCATGGGACAACAGCACAAGGTACTGCAGGCCCTCGGGGGGCAGAGGCTTGGGACCTGCAAGGGGGTCATGGGACCAAGCTGGGAGCCTCCTGCATTCTGGAGGCCACACCCAGGACCCTACCCCCAAACCCCAGGTGGCCTCTGCTCAGTCCAGTTCAGGGTTCAGAGCCTAGGCCCTTTCTCCAGATGCTGTCCCATCAAACCCCCACGCCCCACTCTCCCTGAGACTGCCCCGGGGTTCCCCACCCACCCTCTGGCGCCCAGCTGTTTCTGGGTCCCCCCAGCCCTCCTCCCTCTGGCTCCCACCCGCCACTCCCACCTACCTGCGCAGAGCTCGCAGCCAGAAGAATTGTACCTGCCAGGGGGAGAGGCAGGTCAGGCCAGAGCCCAGGTGGCAAAGCACCCTCAGGCCCTGATGCACAACCCACATGAGGGGCTGGTGGGCCCTAAGTGTCCCCTCTTCACTGGGACCAGGAGGGGGGCACCTGAGAGGCCGAGAGGCCAAGAGGCCTCAGCTGTCCTGCTGAGGAGAGCCTGGGGGTGGGAACACTGGCTGCGCCACACACACACACACACACACACACACACCACCACCCCCAC